GGAAAATATAATATATATACAATTTAATAATTAAAACATTGATTATAGTATTGATTAATACTCACGTAAATTATATATCGTGGATTGTAATAAACTGTCATCGAAAAATGAAAAATAATGTGTTTACCGCCTTAAATGGTGGCCAATTGGTCCAAAGCGATCCAATTACAATTATTTGGAACAACTCATTGTTGTTCTCTACTGAGAGCAAAGAAGCTTATTGGCTATGAATCTTTCCGTTGCATTTATTAAATCTTATTTGAATAGTCTATTTCTTAATCAATTCTTATGAGACTATTTATGAAACAAAATTTCAAGAGTGCCCTTAAGTTATTACGGAGTGTTTAAAGCATATTTACACATATCCTCAAGTACACATTATATCAAATATAATGTAATCAATATATTTTTTATAATGAAAGATTAACTCCTTTTCCTGATAACTTGTAGCAACATTTATATATTATTTACTATGACTGAACATCCTAGACTAATTCCTTGTCAAACATTTTTCTTTATAACACTTTTCGCACAGTTTAGTTAATTGGTAGGATTGAAATTTCCAACCGCTATTGATGTGGTTAAACTGATATAGAATATTTTTTATTATGCGGCGTACTATTCAAATGTGAAGTCTAAACATTTAGTTAATTATTAAAATAGATTAGATTGTAAATGAATGTGATAAATAAATAGCATGATGTTGTTTTCTGTACTATTGCATGTCAATAATTTTATTAATTGTAAAGAGTAATACCAAATCTTTTATCACAAAAGTTTTTTTTTTTTATTTACTGTAAATCATCAAAATGACAATATAGCTTAGTTGTCAAGATTGAGGGTTGTAAAGTTGCAGGTTTTGATATGATTAGGATTAACAAATGATTTTAATGAAGACTTGCATAGCAAGTTATAGCAACTTTTTCCACCATTGATATCTTAGTATAGTTTAATCTTAGCGATAACGGGGGGCTTAAAGTTAATCCATTGTTCTCCATTCGTTTGTTGTTAAAAAATTGTGGTTTCGACTGGTCACCACGTTAGCCCTATTTTACACCGTAAACCTTTTTTTTCTAGGCATTTGAAAGATTCTAAAAACATTTCAAAATTGTTGAAAGGTTTATATTAACAGATCGAGGACACTAGACGAACTTGAAGGCAACATTCGCTAGGAAATAACTGCCATAGTGGCCCAAACATTAGAAAATGCGATTGAAAATTTCAAGAAATCGGTATATTACGCCATTCTAAGGGCAGCCACTTACGCGATATATTCTTTAAAATGAGATGCAATTAAATCTTCTTAAACCAAATTAAATGATTGGATTAAAAGTACTTGTAAGTTTTTTTTTAATAATTTTTAATTGGTGTGAATCAGTCTTTTTTCACCTATTAAAAATTCATGTTTTTTCTTGTTAAATAAATTTGATCAATTTAAATTTATATCTATATCTATATCATTTAATGTATAATATTGATATTAACCTAACTTGATGTATTATAGTCGCGGTGCTCCGCTCTGTCTCAAGCCGGTAGCCTGTTTATTTTTCTATTCTATTATATTTTAACCAAACCTAAATATTACTCACCCAACCTAAATATTAGATGGGTCTATCTTATATAGCCAACTCTGTATATAACGGACTTATGACGTTCTTATACAAACAGATTTAGAGTTGCTAGATGGCGTGTCTAGTATATAATACATTTTAATCTTAAACCTCAAATTCTTAAATATAAAGCTATGTTGGTATATAGTATAGTGCACAAAATTAGACGGAAGTTACTGCTTACTGATGTTACCAAAATCACTCGGCAAATCATGATGGCTATGAAAGAGTAGTCGTGTCTTTCATAGAGACTGGTTTTATTTCAAAACACTATGTCAATTAAATTTTTTCAAGTGGATTGAGAAATTAATGAATCAATGATACCGAAACTTACCGCTTTGGCGTACGCCTTTCCAATTCCATCGGTGGCGCCCGTGACAACTGCAATTAAGAAATTGAACTTTACTATCAGGTTCAGGTAACAGAATACATTTATTATAAAATTTTTTTATTAAAATACAAACAAATGAAAAATGTTTCTATCGACACTGCTTATCACTTATCACAACGTAAACAATAACAACAATAACAACAACAACAACACGAGGCACATTTTTATAACAATTAGTCACAAATGGAATGTCGAAAATAATTCGATTTGTCACTTACCAGCCCAATCGCCCAGCCGGCGTAAATCGACCTTTGGCCCGAATAAAGTGGGGCCAAAGACGTTCAAATACAGCCATGGCAGAACTCTGCGTGCGATTTGTGCGCAGACAAGGCCCACACAAATGCTGCCCAAAATGCAAGTTCCCAAAGCCATGTTTCCTTTTGTACGTCGAATTTTCGCTGCTTTAAGAACTTTTCCGGAAAGAATTAATTTAATTCACAATTAAAATTTAAAAAGAATTTAATTAAATTATTAATCAAAATTTTCGCTATTCGCCGAGAAACACAAAATCACAAAATCAATATTTCACCGCTGCTTTCTGGCGTTGAGTTGCTGATAAACTAAAAATGCTTTCCGTGCGCATTTCGCTCGTCACTCGGTTTACAGTTAATGCTTTTCATTTATTTTATTTGGGATATTTTTCTATTTCTTGTGCTGTATATTTGATTGTGTGTGTGTATGTGTGTGAGTTTCATATGCGAAGCACATATCAGCCGGCACAGTTCGTATTGACATATTTTGCTGTGTTTGCTTTGTTGTTGCTCTTCCTCAATTACTCAATGAACTTCACATGTAAATTGTTGTTTCTTTTTTCTGTTTTTTTTATTGTGCATAAATTCTCCCGTTTTTTTGTATTTTATGTATTCTTTGTACGCTTTCAATCAGTTTCTAAGCATAAGCAATAGCAAAACACGCCAGCAACCCCTTGTGACGTAATTTTCCTATAAAATTATTTTAAGGCAACAACAGGCACAACTCGCAATGTGTGATAGCATGCATATGTTAATTTATAGGAAACCGACAGTTTTGTGGTCATTGAAAAATAATATGTGTGCATTGTATATTTAAAAATTTATATAGATAAAATAAGATAAGATAGATTATATTTATTTTACAATAATAAATGTAATGAATATAATGCTTAGTTTCCTGATGATGACTTCAGACTAAAGTCGAAATATCGAAAAATAAAAATTATTGCAAAATCAAATTGTGATTTCTTTTTTCTTAATTTCTATTTATATTTTTAACAACAATATAAAAAAAAAAGATTTGACCAATTACCTTGAAAAAAAAAACTTCAATAATAAATAAATATATATTCTATACAAAGGTTCTGAACAGTAGTGTATTGTAATAACAAAATTTTTATTTATTTTTAATTAATTGAATATTCGGCTGCCCGTACAGCTGTTTCGAGTACTTCCAAATATTCATCATCATTGGTTGTTGTTTTATATAAATTATATATAATAATTAATATAAAATAAAATAATATAATTTTATAATAACATATATCATGTAAAAATAAGTTATAAACAATAATTTTAAACGATCGTTAATATATAATAAAAGATTTGTTATTGTTCTATAAAATTTGAAAATTATATTTCAACACAATGTGCCAAAATGCTTATAGGAGTAGGTAGAAAAAAGAATGTCAGTTACCCTGAGTCTTAGCTAAATAGAAAACAACAAAGAGGGTTACCCTGAATCTTAACCCTATAGTTCCCTATTATTTGTTTTGTTTAATAAAACCACTGAAAATAGTTTTAAAGTAAATAAGCAGTATTTGTTGCAAAAAAGTTTGTAAATTGAATTTAGCATCATATATTTAATATTTAGAGTTTTGCAAAATATTATCACGTATAGTGTAATTGTAATGATTATTGACACTATCACAGCAGTTTAATAGTAGATGATTTGAAGAAATTCTTGTAAATAAAAAGTTTAATATGGTCATAACACTTTTAACAAAAAATTAAATGCTTTTCATTTTATTCGGGTTAATTTTACAATTACACTTAATTGTCGATTTGACACTTATTTTACATTTATTTGAATTTTTAGTATTATTTCAATGGCCAATATATATCAAACATTTCATATATATTAATATTTGAGAATATCAAAAATTCAATATAATTATTCTAATACAATATGTATTTGGCACATGTTTCTAAAAAGGTTTGCCATCACTGCCTTAGGATATGCAACACATTGTACATTTATACAAGGCATGTTGCGAGCATTATTCTACTTATTTGCAAATCTAGAGATTGAGAATCCAGAATAATTATTGAGCATTTTAATATAATTTTGATAAAGTTGATTATATATTCGAATCAATTCATACTTCATAATTTGCCATATAGACTTTTAAAACCATTTTATTTCTTATAATTTCTTTTGAAACTAAAGCATTTATTAAGCACTGCATTAACTAAAATGTTAACAGTTTGAGAATTATTACAATAATAAATATATACAGTTTTATAGTCAGTAGTGTTTATTTCAAAAGTTTATATAAAGCATTCTATTTTTATGTATAAAATATATTATACATTTAATTAATAAAATAAAGATAAATTATTCTTTTTCTACTTATTAAAAAAATTTTTTTAAAAATATCTAAACTCATACATTGGCGGGTATACAAAGTTGTGGGGACTAGAGTTCACCTTAAGTAATATCAATAAAAAAATAATAAAAATATAAGAAAATAAAATATATGGCAGACTTACCAACACCGCGTTATCGAATCTCAGCATGGTTACAGGCTCCTTTTGAAGGATTCTAGTTCTATCAGGTCGGTGAGACAAGGAGCCTTAAGGATGGTCATAAGATGAAACACTGTTTTGAATCACTGTTTTGAAACACTACTGTAGAGTCTGCAATACGACCAAATCCTTTGGGGTGTAGAGTGTAAAGTGTTAAAGCATGTTTCCGTAGTACGCAGTGACTTTGAGCATCGATACTGTAGTGCTGATTATCGATCTGCTTTAGCTAAAGCAGCTGCCTGGTACGTTTTCTGTCTAAATTGGACCAAATAAGTCTTGTAGTCTGACAAGAATCTTCAACTACCCAAACTTTTCTAGACATTGTTGAATTTTTAATGGTCAGATTAGCCATTCCGAATGAAATATATATATCCTGGAAGTGAATTTGAGAGAGTCGAACGCCTGCTTTGATAACCACGCTAGTCCTACCGTTACCTGTGATCCCTCTGTGTCCAAGTATCCGTATGAAGTGAACACTGTGATACTTTATATATTAGTTATTAATTTTTATAAATTAATAAATACAGGCTGCAGAAACAAAATAATTAGGAATATGTCTGGATAGTAAACTGACCTGGAGAATGTAGTAAATATTACTTATTGTCAAACATGCTTGACAGTTTGTAAAAAAATACATAGATTAAAAAAAAACTCAATTGTTGATCGTTGTTCCTCAAGTGTTGTTGTTTAAATCAAGCTTTGTATGACGGTCCGGAATATTTTTAAAGCGTCCACTTTCTCTAATCAAAGTTTTGGATTATCTACTATCTACGAAATACCATCCAATAAAAAAATTGGTTACCCAAGAGGTGTTTTCTGTTTGAAATGGCTATCTTTGGGGGTAGTTATCACTGTTTAACTAATACGATACGTATTGGTAGTCAGTAAAGACAGTTTCAAACAATTTTCTTTATGATTCTAATGAATTTGCCTCGTAGAATCACTTACCATTCCTGCATAAAACTTAAAATATTCGATAAGGAGAAAAAAATTGGTTAAATTTTTACTTTTTAAAAGAAAAACAACTAATTTAGAAAAATTTAAAGTCATCATCAGTAGTAAAACAGCTCTATAATATCATTTTAGAGACATAAAATACATAAAAATATGGCAAACGCAAGCATGGATTTGTTGGGGGCAGCATAAATGTGTTGGGAAGGAACATGGATGCAACGTTAGAGTACAGGCTGCTTACCATAGATGATCACATAAAACACGGAATAACATGACGCAACACAACGTCACACAATCTACTCATAACGTCACCTAAGCAACGCTTTTGGCGCGGAAAGGCATGAAGAACGCAACATAACCTTCCGATGACAGCATTTACTGTCAGCATCCTCGAAAATGTTGCTTTTTGAAAATTTATTATCGTCCTGTCGGCTGCTGCTGGTGTATCTGTCTATGATGTTGTTGCTGTCACAAAACTTGTCGCTGTTGCTGTCGCAGTCGATGTTGGTGTCGCCTTTGCCTTTACCGTTGCGAATGCCTTCCTTGCCTTTGTTGCCGTTGCTGCGATTGTTGTCGCTGCTGTAACCGTTGTCAGTGCCAATATTCAATGTTTTGGGTTAGGCTATGAGATAATGTATGGTTTCTGAATTTATAGTGAATGTGGTGGATACATTTGTGCCAGTAAATGTAACTACCGGCAACAAATTGTCGCAAATCTGCACAGTTTCAAATATGAAATATTTTTCATTTGCACTTATGTTTGTGGTAACACCGAAAACGGCTGACTCCATCAATATGGTTTGTACACATATACTCGCATATGGATTTGTAAACAAATATTTATGCACCTTTTACAAATATTAGTAGATTGAAATTGGTATTAGCGGTGACATTCCGTAAGAAGTTAGTTAAATTCTAACTCAGTTGGTTATATAAATTATATTTGAGAATTTATAAACGCTATATAAACGACACACAAATGTATTCTCAGGACATATGTATGTTGTATTGGTTATCGTAGTTACTAAATCATCTATACATATTTCGTTATGTTAAATATTATCTATGACGTTATAATAATTTCAATTCAAATAGTTAAACTAAGCAAGTAAGAAACTGATATTACCTGGTAATATGAAACACTAACTGCGGAAAATATCTAAAATCCACTCACATATGTATCATGTAAATTTATTAAAAACCTTGAGAATTGAGAGAGCTATGACTAGATCAAACCATATGCCCAAATATATACTGTCGTTCCTCAATTAATACAAATCTTATTAAGATGACATGAAATTTCCTTCTTTTATTCACTCTCTTCACCACAACTCTATATACGGCGTCTAAATCCTTATCCTTATGGCAGAACTGAAATTTTTTCAAAGGCCTAGTCCTAAAGCTAAACTGAAATGTCCTCCTTTTATTCTGTTTTTCTTGCCATGTCCTTATCGAAAGACTAGAATTGCAAAGCTTAAAGACCTAGTGCTAAGGTCAGAATTGAAATCTTTCGCTTTTACGTTCCTTCTTCGTGATATCTCTATATAGAGTCAAAGTCCTAGTCTTAAAGCTAGAACTAAAGTGTCTTTCTTTTATTCTATTTTTCTCGCCATATCTCTCTATACGGCGTCAAAAACCCTTATTCTAAGACCAAATCTTTTCCTTTAGCTCTCCTTGTTTTCGATATCTCTATATGACGTTAAAGGCGTGGTTCTAAAGCCAGAATTGAAATGATCCCCTTTTATTTTCCTTTCGCTATATTCCTCTATAGGAGCTCAAAATTCGTATCCTAAAATGGAACTGAAATCTTTTCTTTTTACTCTCTTTCTTCGCGATATCTCTATATGCACTTAAAGACTTAAACCTAAAGCCAAAACTGATATCTCCCACTTTTATTCTGTTTTTTCGCCATATCCTTATCGAAAGGATAAAATTGCAAATTTTTTCTTTTTACTTTCTTTCGTTATAATAACTCTATATGGAGTCAAAGTCATAGCCTAGAACTGAAATGTTCTCCTTTTATTCAATTTCCTTGTCATATCTCTCTATCAGGAGTCACAATCCTTATCCTTAGGTCAAGAACGGATATTTTTTGCTTTTACTCCGTCTCTCTTCGTCATATCTATCGACAAGAAGTCAAATTCCTTGAGCTACTAGTGTCGTGGACAAGA